CTAAGTGCTTTACATGAATGAAGTTATTCACAACCGCCTTATGACATTTGTGCTGTTCTTATTTCAGATTCATAGGTAAGAGGACTTGGGGCACGGAGAGGTTAGGTAACTTTCCTAAGGTCATAGTGCTGGTAAGCGTGTTAAAAAGGACTTGAACCTGGAAAGTCTACTTTCAGAGCCAAGCTCTCCCGAGGTGGCAGCCAAGCTGTGGTCTGGGGCTGTACTCATCTCAATGCTCAGCAAGGGTCGGAGAATCTGCTCGCAAGTTCACTCCTATACGGTTGTCAGCAGGCCTTGGTTCCTCGCTGTTTGTTTGCTGGCTGGATGCCTCCTTCCTCACCGTGGGAATTTATCTTTTTATTGAGTTTACGAATGAAATCACACTATATAGCTTTGTGGGTTTTTTTTTTTCCCATCCAGAAATATATTGTAAATATTTTCCCCTGTAATAAACCTATTTCTAATCACCATTTTTAAAAGGCTTTGGATGCAAACTGTCAACTTGAGATAGCAGAATTGCTTTAGGCAAATTAGCTAAAATATCACAGAAGAACTCTCTTACTGTAGCTTGTTTCTTTAATTTATACACTGATAGGGAGACTTCACTCACGGGTTGGCTGTTGGCTTCTTTGATTCATTACTATTAAAAAAAAGGCAAATGTGTGCTTCTACTTCACAGCAGAGAGCTTACCTGCCATTTACTACTATACACTAATGACAGGGAAATGGGGTGCGAGAGGATGGCCGTGTCCCGGGTCTCGGCTGAGTCCCTTGGGGCGCACCTTGTTGAGTGAGGGTCCCTTCACACAGGAAAGAATTCAAGAGTGAGCAATGATACGGTGAAGGTAGATCTATTCAGAGAGATACACACTCCATGGGCTGAGTGCAGGCCGTCTGTGAAGGTGAGGGAGCAAGAGGCCGAGGCGTGGTGTTGCTACTTTTCATGGGCTCGGTAACTTCATATGCTAGCAAGTGGGAAGGGACTGGGATTCCCAGAAATTGGGCAAGTGCCCTCTATTTGACCTTTTACAGTCAGCCTTGGAACCGTCATGGAGCCTGTGGGAGTGCCATTGACCACACTAATATGTTACAGTAAACATAAAATGAGGCTCAATGTCTACTGGAAGTCAAATCTCCTGCCGTCCTGGACCTCAGAGTCTATTGGGAATTGAATTCTCCGCCATCTTGGTGCTAATTGCGGTGTCATTCTTTGAATGGTTCTGCCCCACCTCCTTCCTTTCTGTCCCACCAATGCTATCTTCTTCTTTTATAATTATAAGATAAATAACTTGTAAAACTTGACATTCAACAAAAACTAAATGCTCTTTTTTTTCCAATGCTAAATGGAGAGCCATGCAAGTTAGTGGAAGTGATTCACTACTGTAGTAGCAGAGACAGGACCTCTTTGGTAATTGAAAATTGCTTACTAATTTGTCTGAATTATCACAGTTTTTTGTTTTTGGGGGGATAGTGAGAAGCAGCCTACCAAGGACAGCAGGAAGGTTTCCCCCATCCCTGAATTTCACACAAAGGCATCCTACTCAGAGGCTCTTTATTATTGGTTTATGGGAAGAAAGCTCAGACTGCAGCTTTGGGCTGTTGGTTCCACGTTTTGCTTTGTATGTGAAATTGGTTTGAAAAAGCCCCACGCTAGTTGTCATGACAAACACAAACCCTGCACTTTGGGGGAAAGGAAGTCAATAAACACCTTCAAACTGATGTTTCAGACATGAGATCACTCCAGCAAGAATTCATCCCAGTAAGGAGGCTCTAAAGAGAAGGAAAACTTGAAAAACAAGACAACTGCAGCTATTCGAAGAGGAACTCATTCTAAATGAAGCGAATTCATTTTATCTGTTAACCATGACTTTCAGTTTTATCTTTTTATTCTTAAGCTGTAGAGGAAGGTATAGAATTGTCGGGCTTCCCAGTATATAACTCCTTGGGACACCCTTCATTTCTTGTTTTGTCCTCTTTCTTTACTGACATGTATTAAAGACTGAGATGGACTAGGATACAAAAAGTGTATAATTTTATTTTTCGTGTTTTGAGCCAATATTGTTCATGTAGAAAAGAAGTGAGTTTTCCCTAAATGGCAGTGTAAGTCTTTGAGCTATTGATTTGGCATAATTTTTTAAATCCTTTCAGTGCAAAATTCTTTAGGGATTGGATTATAATTTGTGGAAGGTATCTTTCACAAAGCAAATTACTTAATTAAATCAGTTTGTGAACTAGAAGCCAGAGTGTTATTCTGGGAAGGGTCTACGGGTTCAGAATCTCTATTGCCCAGGACTCAGTGCTCCCTTCTAACTCTGCTTTTTAAAAACTGGGTATAGGAGGGAACCCGGCCCTGAGTGACAGAGCAGTGTGTTACGTATTGTTACGAACGTTATGACTGATTGTTTAATAAGAATTTGTGACTTTGGGGCAATGGATGGAAGATGAGGATGAGATAAGATTGCTTTTTCTTTAGAAGCTGGAGGTTCAGTTTATTTAATGCTCTTCAGTAAAAACACCGCTGGAGTAAAGTTTAGTGCAGAACCAGATGTTAAACACCTTTTTTCATTTATTCAACTGGTGTGTTACAGAAAGCCATTTATAAGCACTAAGCACATGGACATAAAAATAAAAGTTCATTTGTAAAACCGGCCTTAAGTCTAAAATGTATTTGAACAACCCTATTACTTCAATTAGGTTACAATATGTAATTTAAATAACTATAAACTAGTTAATTAACATGTAAATAGCATGTGGTCCCAAACACTGTTTGAGTCGTCTCCAGAACAATGAAAAATTATACACAATGAAGAGAAATACACACCGGGGACTGCAGTGGGACACCACGCCCCATGGGAAGTGATCCTTTCCGATGGGTTAGTTAGGCTGAAAGAACACATTCGTGATGTGTTGTTAACATGCTAACATTTCAAAGCTTGGGGGAAAGCCCTTAAAAGTAACAGCTTTGAATGCGTAAGTAGTTAAGTTTTGTCTCCAGTCAGGGGATTTATACGGTCAACAACACTTCCAGGTAACAGGTTGCGCTTTCCAAAGGAGAACGAAGTAGTGGTTTCTAATGACCGTCTTCTGTATTTTACAGGGGTTAAAAACCAGGGACTGTCTTAGCCAATTTTCAGGGAACCTGGTTGGGTTCAGGCTTAGCAGGAGGCCCTTGACAAAGCTCTCCCAGCGTGGGGTGGGGGGCACACGCTGAGGGCCTGCGCCACGGGACGGCAGGGGGCTGTCACCCCTGCCCGGGGCCGGGATTCACGGAGGATGCTACCCATCCGCTGGGCCGCTCGCATCCACACCGCCCTCCACGGCTGCGCCCTGTGCGGCACCTGAATGATTCACTTCTCTCCATCTGCTCCCTTTTCTTCTCTTTTCCATTCTGTTTATTTTTCCTTTTCTGTGAATTCGTTTGTGAGCTTGAGACACGAAAGCACAAGACGTTCACCCGCTTACAACCAACCTTCTGTTTCCTGGTACTCGGAGCTTTCTGAGGGCTCTTCGTCATGAACAGTCTGTATTATTGGTAGTTAAATGCCTTTTCCTGGATGGGTTCATTTTTCTCTTGGCTACACCCCAAGTTATATTTTAAAATTTCCTTCAAAGTACAGTTCTACTGGGCAAATCCATGACAAATGGACTGCACACAGATGCTCTCCGTTAAGCCAGACTAAAAGTTAAATGAAATTAGAAAGGAAAGGCCCATTGAAAGAGCAGTAGGCTGGAAGTTGGGAGACTTGACCTCCAGTTCTGGATCCATAACTGTCAGGCAGTTTAGATAGAAATAAGCACTGGGCAGTGGGGGAGGAAGGGGAAAGGAGCAATCCAGAGCACACGGAGCCTGAGCTGTCAATCAGTCAATCAATCAATGAATCCATCACTCACGAAACCAGGAAATAAAAACAGGAAAAATGAGGGGACGGCGCCACTTTTCCTCTCTTGGATTGACCTGCTTCCCGTTCCCAGGGGTGCACTATCTTTCACTATTTTTTTTTCACTAATAAAAATTTTGCTAATCACACTTTTTTGTCTCTCGTCAAAAATCTTTTTTTTTGGGTGACTGAGAACCTAGGTGACTCTTATTTTGTTTCCCGGTGACGCAACTTGCCAGGGGGGGGGCCTGATCTTGTCGTGTCTGCTCCTCCCTGAATGTCACTCCCCACACGTCATCTGTATGAAATGTATCAAGGTAATTATATGTAATCAATATATTGATAGCTAACCAATACATGAAATATGCACTAGAATGATATTTATAAAGTATTTAATATACACACATACTTAAATATATAAATAATTATGACTACAAGGATGAAATACATAAAATACAAGATTATATACTATGTAATAATTACAGTTAATAATGCAATATATTGTTACTCAATATTATGTATCATAAACGATGCGGCATTTTCCCCGCAGCTTGCTGTCCTCATGTTTGCATAGTGCATCGGGCTGGGCTCTAGACATCTGGGTTTGCCCAGAATTTTTCTGTGTCAGATGCATCACCCAGAGGGTGATGTCTTGCAGCTGTAGGGGTTAGCGGAGTGCCAGACACAGGCTAGTGCTCTCAGTTAATGCCATAGAGCACAGTGAATGCTATACTTTAAACTTAGAGGGTTTAAAAAGCATTACATTTAACATTCATGTCATCTGGATATGGGTGAGCTCCGCCTAGGAGACATACAAACTTTTTCGAGGGAGGATGTCCTTTACAGATTCATATAACCGGATATGCCCATGTCCCCATTTCACAGATGAGAAAACTGAGGCACTGAGCATTAAGCCCAGGCTCTTGCCTTCAAGTCCACTTTGCTTTTACTATGTCCAGATCTACTATGGATAAGTAGTCAGTGCTGATCGTGGCGGCCTGACCATCAGCTGTGCATTCTTCCTTGGAGACCCCGTGAGGCGCAGGCTCTGTCCCGTCCTCTCTGTCCGGGGATAACTGGGCAGCTGCCAGGGGAGCGCAGGCCTGTCTCCCGGCTGCAGGCATGAGGTGTGGCGCCTGCAGGAAGGCGGTCCTGGAGCCGCCCGCGACCAGCCCCCGTCCAGGGTGAGGGTCAAGGCCAAAGCAGCTGGGCCGGAGGACCTGGGCCGGAGGCGACGACCAAGGCGGCTGGCCGGATGCAGGGCGCCCACTTCCAAGCCAAGTTCCATCCCCGGGGCCTCAGCAGGTAAAGCGCCAAGCAAAGCGAGGGTCCAAGGTTTAGGCTGGGGCAAGACTGGGGCTGGACTAGGGCAGGACTGGGGCTGGGCTGGGGCCGGGCTGAGCAAGGTGAACGCTGACCCAGGCAGCCTTCATGTTTCCTGGGCCTGGCGACCTTAGACAGGCTCCCTGACCTCCCTCCATCCCCTCTGCCCCTTTGAGAGGTAAAACTTCCACAACCCAGAAATGTCTTTCTCAAGGACCCGGCTGGCATTCCTTTGAAACGTAATCACCAGGAAAGACGGGGCCCCTATTGTCCCGTCTCTGTGGGAGGGCAGGGGTCTAACTTCCAGTACACGGGGGTCGGGTCACGTAGACAGCGTCCCTCCAACGCCCTCTGGTGACTTCCTGCAGACTCACTCCAGCCTTACAAGTCTCTTGACTTTTTCCACAATTGAGTTCAGTCCTTCTTCCCTGTTGCAGTAGTTTTGACCTCGATGGCAATAATTTGGAATGCCGTCTTCCTCGCTGTATGTAACAAGTGTCCAGGGCAGTTTCTCTTCTAAAGAGCAGGGAGGGCGGAGGGGAGAGAAAGTTCCAGACCGAAAGGAAAGGAGGAGCAGCGTTGAGGAACGGGAGGGGCTCCCGGACCTCTTAGTTGGGGAAACGGCCGCTCACCCCCACAGGGACCCCACCACACATATACGGGAGCTGGGCTGTGTGTGAAGGACCTTCTACTACATTCTAGAAAAGGAGATCATAGTTGGTGGACTAGAAACTGGCTTTTGAATCAACCAGACTTGAGATCCACTCCAGTCTTTTCTATTGTGTGTGATTGGAATTTCCTTATCCTTTTTCCTTCCTCAGTGTCCACTTCTGTAAAATGGGACTAATAATAATGCTTACCTCGTAAGCATGCTGTGAGGATGGTTTAAGTAATATATGTAAATTATGCAGCACAGTGCATGGTGCGAGTTCTCATGTAGATATTAGCACAATTCTTTTTATTGTCTTCCTAAGGCAAAACGAAGACCTAGCTGACCGGTAAGAAATGAGCAGGGAAAGCAGGTTGGTTGGCCTGAGAAGTAATTTCCTCAGTGCACCACGTTGGCCAGGTAGCAGAAGGAAATCACAGGGTCCCTTTCCACACTGCCCTGCTTGCTGGGACACACGGTGGGTGGCTCCCCTGGCTGCTCGGGGACACTTCTAGTCCTAGGATACTGTGGTGACCTCATCATGGTGTTCTGGCCGGAATCTATGCAGAGCCATTTCCTGGCCTCCTCAGAGCTTCCAGTACACGGATGACTGGAGGATTCGTCCAGTTGTGGGTAAGCTTAGAGAAGAACCAAGCTGATCCGGCTGGACTTGAATCAGTGGACATGGGGTCTTGTCAAGATTGAACTTATTGGGTGGTGTCTCTGGTCATCAGTAACCAGGGCCCTCTGGTTATCCACCTCTTTATCCATCCTCATAGCCTCCCCCCAGGGGTAGTCCCCGCCCCTTAGGGTATCAAAGGGTCATGGAAGCAGAAAATCTCAAGATTGAAAGGGCTTTAAAAACTGACTCAGGGCTCTTCTTTAGCCAATGAGGCATTGCAGCCCAGAAGATTGAGTGAATTGTCCAAATTGGTGGCAGGATTGTGTCTAGAACATAGCTGTCTTTCCTCTCTGTTGTGATCCCACAACAGTAGACAGGTGACAGACCTTTAAGTCTGTATTTTCACTTTCTTTGGAGCTCATTCCAATTGCTTCTATCAAACAGGGTTGTGATAGTATTATTGTTTTCATGTTTCATTTTTTTTCATCATGTTCAAAAAATTCCCAGTTTGTAGCAGCTGGGGTCACAGTAATAATTTCATTTTCTCTCATCTCTGGGATGATGGAAAATCGCACGACCTACAGAAGTGACTTTGAGGCTGCCTTGTGGGAGAGGGGAGTAGGGGGTGGGAGTGGGGGATGCGGACCTTCCTTGGAGATGCGTTCTCCCATGCCTCATTCCATCCTTAACGTTTCCAAAATACAGGAGATAATTTGCAAATAATATGTGTTTAGTGAGTGATTCTTTCATTCAACATTTATTGCTATCCCTTCCATGCCAGGAAATGCACAAGATACAGCTGCCCACGTCATAAAAAGAGTCACCATCCATGGCTATCAAGGTCTTAGAAGCAAAGCTGCAGCTTCAGGAATTTGTTATGGGATGTTTGTTATTCAATGTGAAACCACTTATTTCCACTACTCTAAATGTTGGCTGAAAGCCCACTGTTTCCCCCAATGCCAGATCACTTGCATTTTTTCACACATTGGGGTTAGAAAGGCCCCTTAACAGTACAGAATAAGCTCCCTTTATTGGAGTGAGAGTGTAGTTCCTCAGAAACAGTAATCCGTCAGATAGCTGATGATTTATCTCGTGAGTAAATGAATTTTCCTGCAGTTTTGAGGGCACAGTGATAAATTAGTATTTGCAAAGTGCTTTCATCCACGCTAAGAGGTAATGGGTTGGTCCATAAAGCAATAGAATTTGAAATGCCTGTGATTATCTTCAAAATCACACTGGGAGTGCATGTGAATGAAAAAAGCAGAGTTGGAAAGAAAAGAGGAGATAGAAACCATTTAAGATTACTAAATTGCTAGCTGGCCAGAAAATTAAATGCACTGTATAGAACAAAGGTGTTTTCTGTGAGCCAGGATAGCCAAATGCCAGTTTTATTCAGTCAGCACAGGAATATAAGAAATAAAAAAGGATACAAAAAAAATTATGGGAAGAAAAAACTCAGCAATAAAAAATAAGGCTATTTAAAGCACAGATTGATACTTGCATTTGAATCTTTAGTATTGAGTATGTGACAAAGAATTACCTTCTCCCAGCGTCCTCCCAGAGTCTATTCCATTCACTGACATCCTTCCTTGGGAGAAGTTTTAATTAAAGTGGGAAAAACGCCAAATTATGATGTGAGGAGACCTGGGTTCTAATCCTCAGTCCACAATTTAACCAATCGGCTAAGCTAATCTTCAAACTTCTTCATTTGTAGAATGAGGGGTTGGATTCAGTCATTCCCATTTTACAATCTCTCCAGTTGTAAAATCATAATTCTAAGTCTGGCATTGTCTCAGAATTTCTTGAATAGAGATAGAAAGTTAAATTTTGACAGGATTCTTAAATTTAGATCGACGTTAACAAGGATAATTCAAGTTTAAGATCCCTAGCCTTTGAAATCCTAGCTGACTTCCTGGACTTCCTGAGAGATAATTATACATCACTCACATACATCCCAGGTTAAAATTCTGTTTGCTCAGGTTGGGGTAAACCATGGACAGCTTGCAGGCTGCAGGATAATCCTAACACTGTGCCCACCAGTCTTCTGAAAGCTGCCTTTACACCGGCACATATACAATATAGTGCTACGTATAGAATAGTCCACTTTCTCAGTGGGCATCTACAAAGAAGTGACCTTGGGTGAGATGGGAGATGTGCCTGGGGCTGAGCGCTCACTGTCAAGTAACCCGAGGAAGACACCCTTTGTACCCTGTCTCCTGATGTGGTTCCCTCCCTCTTTGGAGAAGCTATAAACAGGATTAAGCTTCTTTTTTATTCTCTCCACCTGGTTTGGTGGTGGTTGTTGCGGAATAATAAAAAAACAAGAGTTGGAGGAAGGAAAGAAAATGGTAGCTGGAGGTCCCAGAATTCTTCATGGAGATTTTAGAGAAGTGCATTTGAAGGGATTGGATTTCGATCTCGTCTACTTCAACTACAATCTGAGTGGCCTTGGGAAATCACTTAACTTTTTAAATATCACCCAGCAGGAATCTTATAAGATAGGACTTTTTAAAAAAAGATAAAATTCCTGGCACATAACAAATATGTAATACATGGTAGCTATTGTTAGTACAGTGGTTTGTCTTTCTTCTAACTAACTGCTTTTCTATCACGTGCTTCCATTTCAAAAGAGGATGTGAGGTGGTTTTCAAAAATAATAAACACAATTAAACAACAATAAACAAGGAAAGTGGATGGGGGAATAAAAAGAAAAGATGTAAAACATTGAATTAGATAACTTTGAAAATCATCACTTCAGAGGATAACAGATTTGGCTTTTCTTCCAACAGATATGATATCAAGGCTCTTATCAGCAAGGCTGTCAGGGTGGAGCGGAAAACCACCAAGAAACCCTTTGCAATAAAAGTGATGGAAACCAGAATGAGAGAAGGCAGAGTGGTGTGTGAATCTGAGCTCACCATCCTGTGGCGGGTTAGCCGTCGTGACAGCGTCCGGCTCATGGAGATCTTTGAGGTCCAGGGTTGAGTTTCCATCGTGATGGAGCCTGATGGCCATGGGAGGGGAGCTCTTCGATTGACTCCTCACCCAAGGATCCACTACAGAGCAGGATGCTGTCAGGACCCTCCAGATGGTTGCTGATGGCATTAGGTATTTGCACGCATTGAGAATAACTCACAAAGACCTAAAGCTTGAAAATCGCTTATATTATCACCCAGGTGCAAAGTCAGAAATTTTAATCACAGATTTTGGTTGACACAGTCTGGGCACAAAAGTGGTGCCTGGACAATGAGGGCACTCTGCAGGACCCCAGAGTACATAGCCCCTGAGGTTTGGCTAAGGAAACCGTATCCTGGTGCAGTTGACACGTGGGCTCTTGGTATATTAATCAGGTATGTTTCACTTTAGCGGATTCCCGCCTTGTGATGATGAAAGCCATATGAGGCTTTTACAGGGAGATTCTGAATGGCAAATATAATTATATGGGAGAGGTAAGTGCTCAATTTATTCCTACTGAGTTGGACTTGAATAATTCCTCGACCTCAGCACTATTGCCATTTAGGGCGGGATGATTCTTTATGGGGGGTGGGGTTGGGAGAAGGGAGGATGCAGGATGTTAGCAACATCCCTGGCCTCTACCCAGCTGGTACCAGTAGATACCCTGCTGGTAGATACTGGTATCTATGGATGCACTAGATACACACCTCCCCCCTGCTGTGACAACCAGAATTGTCTCCAGACATTGTTAAGTGTCTCCTGTGAGGCAAAGAGCCATTGGCTTCAAGGTAGCAAGGGCCTCGATGACTCAGTTGTCTGTGGTTAGCACATGACACTGACAAGCCAAGCCCTTTTTGGGACGTAGTGTTTTCTCAGTGAATTGTTTAACTTCACAGTTGGCGTGAAATATTTATCCACTGTTTCAACTTGGAACTCCCAGTGTTGATCATTGTGTTTAACTTTTTGTTGTTTTGTTTAGGGAAGGAAAGTTGCCAATGCTTATGTGTGGGATGCCGGGCAAAACAGGAAATTTATTTCATGTTGAAGAAATGAACAAATTTATGTTTAACTATAAAGGGTTTTTTTTTCCTTCATAAAGAAAAGTATTGATAGTTTGATTATACATATTTCAAGTGTGACTTCTATATGTAAAACTAAAAGCTACATAACAAGTTGAAAAATCACACTTTCTATTCTCTGACAGATTTACTATCTTACGGTACATGTACATGCTTTAAGAAACTCAGACAAATTGGTAATTGAGAACTAAGATTTACACAGGGAGGTAGGAAAGGGTGGGAAGAATTCCCAGACAGTTGAATGTCATTGATTATTAAAAACTTAAAAAATGAATAGCCTCATTAATGACCAAAGAAATGCAAATGAAGGTGACAATATCTTTTCTTTGGCTTTCAAATTGATAAAGATAAAAGAAATACTCAGCTTAATTCTATTCATCGCTGCTAAAAGTGCTAAGAGGTTAGCGGTCTTGTAGATAATTCCGAGGGGATGAGTTGTAGATTTCTTGAAAAGTAATTTGAAAATACACATCTAGAACTTCAAAAAGTTTACTTATTTTGATCTGCTAATTCCACTTCTGAGAATCTAAGGAAATAATCTCAGGTGCAGCAAAGTTTCATTCTAATGATGCTCATCTGAGTTTCCTACCAAACTGGAAAATTGAAACGAATCATCAGAGAATGTTTGAATACATTATGAGACATTCATATGATAGTCCCTAAATTATGCATGTCTGAAAATTATACTGGTATTGGGAAATGTTTCCAATATACTGGAAGGGGGTAAAAAAAAAAAAAGGCAGAATCCAAACTGTGTATGGAGTATGAACACAATCATGTGGGAAAATGCATGTGCAGGAAAAAGTCTTGGTGGAAACACAATACGATGCAATACCTTGTTAACAGAATTTATCTTCTGGTTTGCGGATTATGGATCATTTTGGTTTCTTCTCTGTAATTTGCATCTATTTGTGTTCCTGTTTTGTTTTGTTTACAAAGAGCACATACTTCTGTTTGGGCTATCTGTTGCTGCATAACAAACCATCCCCACACCTGATGTTGTGAAATAAAGACCATTTTATCATGTCAGGTAATAAATTTGTATTGTCTTCTTAAAAGTCCTTCTGTCTGTAAGTGAAATTCCAGGTATCGTTAGAGCAGGCAGAGAGCTGGATATGAGCAGAGAAAGGGGGACACAGACCAAATGGCAGGAATTGGGTGGAAAGGAGGGGCACAAGCCAAATGCAGGAAGCCACACATCATGTGAGCACCAGGGGCCCCTGGGCAGAGAGAGAAAAGCAGGAACCTTTGGACTGTTAAGGGGTCCGAACTTTTGGGGTGATGAGTGGCCTGAAAACTGACGAAGAAAGGTGAGAAAAGGCAAGAATCTCCAGTGTCCGAGGGTAACCTTTTGCTCATTATGCCCTCATTTCAATAAAAATTAGCCTTGCAGATCAGAAGTACCCATCATGCACTGACGTCATGACAGTTCAGATCCAGACTGAATAAGGACAAAAATCCCTCCTCCCTTTGGGAAGGTGGAGTTGATATGAACATCAGGGAATATGACCCGAAACCCTTCCCTCCCCAATGAATATTCCGTCCCTTCATTTTTACACCCTATGTAACCAACTTGCCAAAGAAACTCGGGGCAGCTGCTCACCTGAGCCTGCCCGCTCTCCCCTTGGGAGTGTACTATCCATCCTTTAATAAATCCTCACTTTACTTTTTTAACCACTACATCTTGTCTCTGAATTCTTTCTGGGACGGGACAAGAACCTGGAACACCAGTTGCATCCACTGGCAACAGTATGACACATCATGTGAATTACTTTTTTTCTTTACAAGGCAGGTGGAAAAGTGGAATAAATAGGAGGAGAACATCCAGAGGTGTAAGTTCTATATTGCTGATGGTGAAGAGGAGAGGTATGTTTAACATAAATAGCAAATATTTTACTAGACACTTGGCACATCCGTACTGGAGCCCCACTCATGTATGTGCAAAAAGTTAGCTATAGTGTTAATTTTTTCTTATTTATTTAAATGGAGGTACTGGGGATTGAATTTAGGACCTCACACATGCTAAACTTTCGCTGTACCATGAAGCTATACCCCACTCCCTAATTTCTGTTGATTTTTTGGTGTGAAATACATTCTTTTTCATGAAACTTCAATGACCATTCCACTGTGTTATTCTTTTTTTTTTATTTTTTCCTGAATACTGCTTAGGGTTACATTAATTTGTTTCGTTTTGATGTTTAATCTGTATGTCTTCTTTCTAAGACATTGTAGGCTCCTTGAGGGCTGGGACTCTCATATTTTTCCACTCGTCCTCAATAAGATATCACAAAAAGCTAAGCATAGAGAATGCATTTCATAAAAACAAATTGCTTTTTAAAATACTGAGATTCTGATCTGTATCTCCATGAGTAAATGTGTCTCAACTATCACTGCATTGAATATAGAATACAAATTTTAAATTTATTGTAAGGCAAACTATTAGATAATTCATGAAATTATTAGATTCATCCTGGAATATTCAGGTGGTTTGAAGGCTACATTTATTCTACTCTACTGGGTTTTGCAGGATAGAGGTAAGTGTTCCCCATTCCAGGTGCTCCCTGAAATGCAAGACACAGCACATGGTGGGAAAGGGGTGGGAGAGAGCAAAGCTTTTCTCCCCACCATGAGAACGAGGACTTGGCTTATCTGCTTGGTTACCAATGCCATCCCAATGGCTTTGGCAAGGTGGCAGGGCTCATGTTGGGGACTCATCCACAATGCTCCTGGAGACCATTTGAACCTCTTCCTTCTTCATGCCAGGAATTACGCTCAGCTCTGGGAACACCCACGTGAAAAATGCTCAGTGTCCCTGCACTTAGGGATCTCTTGGTCTTGTCTGAGAGACCAAGTTTTACTCTGCATCTCTTCAAATATAAGGGCTCTGACGCATAGGAACAAAGGCTCAAGGTCCATGGAGCAAAGAAAGAGAGTCTTTCACTGCATAGGAAGGTTGGGTCAGATTTCCTGAAGGAGGGGACACGTGAGCTGTGACTTGGAGGAAGTGTAGGAGCTTCTGAACGGGAGGCGAGTACTTTCTACATGGAACAGCATATGCAAGAGCACATAAAAGGGAATAAGTTGACTAACAAGAAATTAAGACTTTTAGAGCATTTGTGTGCCTGTGAACGCATGTTTGTACGAGTCTTTTGTAAAGCAGCGTAGTGTGAAGGTTAAGAGCACAGTCCGGGGCCATGCTGGCTGCCCTCCACTCCCTGCTCTGCCATTCGCTGACTGTGTGAACTTGGGGCGTGCTCCTTGATTCTTCTATATCTCAGTTTCTTCCTTTGTCAAATGGAAGTAATGATAATGTCCGCCTAACAGGGTTGTGGTGAGGATCAAAGGAGCTAATAGATGTAAAGTGCTTAGAATAGATTTATAGTATTAGTTACTAAGTTAGTACTAAATTAGTACTAAGTTATTACTGTTATTACTATATTAGTACTACATTATTACTGTATTAGTACTACATTATGACTATATTAGTGCTACATTATTACTGTATTATTACTACCTTATTACTGTATTAGTACTACATTATTACTATAGTGCTAATATATGTTAGCTATTTCTGTTATAATTACTATTAATATGTAAAATACTGGGACTGGAAGTTTGAATTTTCTTAAGTAAAATTTTGTTTAAGTTTGAATTTTGCTTATACGTATATATATGTAGATAGATAAACTTTACTTATCAAGTGTACATTTTTCACCTTTGAAATGGAATAGTGAGGAAAGGGTAGCATTAGCATTTTCATATTAACGATAAATTACACATTCTTGCCAATGCGTTGAGAATCACATATTCTGGCCTCGTTAGATTCCATTATATCACAGGAAACATTTTTTGGTGTGAAATAAATTGATAATAAAACGAGCCTTATAATCATATTAGCTAGTTGATAAGGATAAACACTGGTGTTAAAAACATATTTTAAAAATAACCCACATGGACATTAATAGAAGACGGTGTCCAACTGCTTAGACTCACCTGTGATTGTTGTACTGTTAGAAAAAAGCATATTGATAAGCTCCCTTGGCTGCTGTGTTTTTTTGGGGGGGAGGTTTATTTATGTTGTAATGGAGGCACTGGGGATTGAACCCAGGACCCCGTGCACGCTAAGTATGGGCTCTACCGCTGAGCTACACCCTCCCCACTGATACACCCCTTGGAAGTAACAGATCTGATAGTTATGCTCCTCAGCCATGACCCCAGTTTCTTTCTATTTCATTACCTCCACTAATTTCTCTTATTTTTCTTTCCTATATTTCTTCTTCACTCAGGTTATTAAGGAAGAAAAAAGAACAGGAGAGCAGAAGATTGGATACTTGAATTCCCTTTCATTCTTTTTCCATCATGATGCCAATAATGAACATGACACCCTATCTCAGTTAGGCCGTAATTCTAGTAATTTGGTTCCCATTCCTGTGATTTAGTTCCTAAATACTTACACTTACAAAAAAAAAAAAAGTGGCACCCAATACTTTTAAATGATATTTTTATTTTAAAAGTTTTTTTACAGAAAACAATTTTAATGATTATGAATCTTTCAAATCATACTTCATTTTCTGCATATCATTTTCTTCATCTCTTCTGTGACTTACCTTAAATTGAAGGTGTCTGTGTCTTCTTTTAAACTCCATCACAAACAGTGAGTATTTGTAAGAGTCGGAACAGTGGTGCATCACATTTACACTGTGTAGGTGTTGCCCTCAGCATCAGGGGCGGTGATCAGAGTGGGAAGTAGCTGTCGGCGTCCCTGATTATGTCGCACTGCTTGACCTTGATCTCATCAACAGAATTCGTGGAGTTGAGGAGAAAAGAACTATGCATAAAGGCTTTTACAAACTGAGAAATGGCTGGATTTAATATTATTTTTATATTGCTCATTTTATGGTTTGTGAGGGTTACAATATAGGGACTAGATCTAAATGTATGTTATGTGTGGAAAAATGGGTCAACCAATGATTTAGAGTTCATAGGCCAATTCAGTTTTTTGTTATTTTTCTTATCTTCTTTTTTTGAGGATGAGCTTTACCCAATCCTCTTTTAAGCTTCAGTGTTTCCTTTATGAATGGAAAACTAAAAGCATCCTTATTCTCATGTCAAGAGCCTCTTTTTTTCTTTTTAATTGAAGTACGGTTGATTTACAATGTTGTGTTAGTTTCTGGGGTACAGCATAGTGATTCAGTTATACATGCATATGCACACATATATTCTTTTTCATTATAGGTTATTATAAGATATTGAATATAGTTCCCTATGCTATATAGTAGGACCTTTTTGTTTACTTTATATATAGTGATGTATGTCTGTTAATCCCAAACTCCTAATTTATCCCTTCCACTCTTTCCCCTTTGGTTACCATAAGTTTGTTTTCTATGAGTATGAGTCTGTTTCTGTTTTGTAAATAAAGTTCATTTGTATCATATTTTACACCTACATATAAATGATATATGATATTTGTCTTTCTCTGTCTGACTTACTTCACTTAGTATGATCATCTCTAGGTCCATCCATGTTGCTTCAAGTGGCATTATTTCATTTGTTTTTATGACTGAGTAGTATTCCATTGTGTGTGTATATACACACCCAATACACTAGTAGTATTCCATTATATATATATATATACATATGCATATATATGTGTATATACACACACACACACACACCCCATCTTCTTTATCCAGTCATGTCTCAGTGGACATTTAGGTTGCTTCCATGTCTTGGCTATTGTAAATAGTGCTGCTATGAACATTGGGGTTCGTGTATGTTTTTGAATTAAAGTTCCCTCTGGATATATGTCCAGGAGTGGGATTGCTGGATCATATGGTAAGTCTATTTTTAGTTTTTTGTGGAATCTCCATACTGCTTTCCATAATGGCTGTACCAAACTGCATTCCCACCAACAGTGTAAGAAGGTTCCCTTTTCTCCACACTCTCTCCAGCATTTATCATTTGTGGGCTTTTTAATGATGGCCCCTCTGACCAGGTGTGAAGTCATACCTCATTGTAGTTTTGACTTGCATTTCTCTGATAATTAGTGATACTGAGCATTTTTTCATGTGCCTGTTGGCCATTTGTAATGATACAGTGTTCAAATTCCTTATTTGAAGAAGTCTTTTGGATTTGATAAGCATTGATCTTTATAATTAAGAACATGATTCTCTATGTGTGTTTGTGTGTGTATTTTTATTTTATTTTATTCTATTTTATTTATTTACATTTCTTCTCAGCCCTCCCACTTGGCGAAGGACTTTATCGACAAACTACTGATTTTGGAGGCTGGTCATCGCATGTCGGCTGGGCAGGCCCTGGACCGGCCCTGGGTGATTGCCATGGCTGCAGGGGCCAGCACGGAGAACCTTCAGAAGGTCGTTTCTCAGAACCTCATGCAGAAGCTCCTCACTCTCAGAGTCCTGCATCTGCACAGTCTTCTAAGTCGCCGTCTTATTACAAATCAAGGTTTATGTGGAGCAAGGGAAACTGAGGGGTAGAAGAATCACTGTCTTCACTTTAGTGAGCGGATGGCCTTTCAAACCACTTCATTCAATTTTAAGCCAGTTGCATTGACTTCCTGAACAGCATTAGGTCAGTAGAGACCATTTCATCACAATAAAGTCACCCTAGGACTCCAAGACACGGAAGCATGTGGTTATTGTTGGGTAATGGTGACCTTCCCTTTTAACATTTTTTAAGCTATAATTTTTCCCATGTTTATACAGGAACTATATTAATTCTCCAAAATATACTGCTGTAAAAGATGACTAATACAGTAAGTAGTACATAATAGGAAATAGGAAGATGAAAAAAATAGTAGGAAACAGTAGATGAAAAAATCTCTTAAGAATTGATGAATTAGATAAAATACAAGATTATAGGAATAAGGGATGAATATATGAGGGAATGATGAATCAAAGACATGGCAGGGATGGTTAGATACAGGGAATAAATGTACTTACCCTGAAATTACTGATTTATATTTAAGACCAGTGTACGGTGTTAATAACCACTGAGTAACACTCTAGACAGTTACAAGTGTCTGTCAATTTCATCTTTAGTCTGCAGGTATTCGTGGAAATTGTTAATTACGGGGCATACAAAAAAGCTTAGCAGGCAACAAAATAAAAATAAACCAGTGGGACTCCCTCAAACTAAAAAGCTTCTGCATGGCAAAGGGAACAATTAGTGAAACAAAAAGGCAGCCTACAGAATGGGAGAGAATATTTGTAAGGCATATATCCAGTAAGAGGTTAATCTCCAATATATAAGGAACTCCTATAGCTCCAAAGTAAAAAAAAAAAAACAAAATCCGATTTTAAAAAGTGGGCTAAGGGTTTGAATAGATGTTTCTCCAAAGAAGACATACAATGACTAACAGGTGCACAAAAAAGTGCCCAACATTACTAAGTACCAGGGAAATGCAACTCACAACCACAGTAAGATATCCCTTCACATCTGTCATCAACGAAACAAGTGTTGGTAAGGATGTGCAGAAAAGGAAATCCCTGTACATTGTTGATGGGAATGTAAATCGGCTCAGCCACTGTGGAAAACATGGCAGCTTCTCAAAAAATTAAAAATAGAACTACCGTATGATCCAGCAATCTCACTTCTGAGTGTTTATCCAAAAGAACTGAATTGAGATCCGCAAGAGAGACTGCAGCATTATTCACAAAAGCCAAGATGTGGAAGCAAACTAAGTGTTCATTGATAGACGAATGGATAAGAAACCATGGCGTAGACATACAATGGAATACTATTCAGCCTTAAAAAAGAAGGGAATTCTGCAGTATGCGACAACATGGCTGAAACTTGGTCCATTATGCTAAATTGAATAAGCCAGTCACAGAAAAAACAGACATTGCAGGATTCCACTTATGTGAGGTATCTAAAATGGATCAAATTCATAGAATCAAAGAGTGGAATGGTTGGTGGCCAGCGGCTGAGGGAAGGCAGAGATGGGGAGTTAGTAATGAACTGGTGTAAAGTTTCAGTCAAGCAAGATTCCCGAGATCTACTGTACAACCTTGTACTTACAGCTAACAGGAATGTAATGCAGGATAAAACATTTGCTAAGAGAATAGACCTCATCTTACCACAATAAAATTCAAAACAAAAGAGAATCTTAAGAGGCAGTATCTATCCAGCAGAAACTTACAGCCTAATTGGGGCATTATTCACTGGAAAATGGGGTTTTACTGAATCAGACAACAGTGATTTTTCTCTAGTGTTAGCATGCATTACCCACTAGAGCTTACACAAGAATATATATGTGATCAACTTGCTTCATCCCTCTACTGCTAATTCTTTTTGGATAGCCCAGGTTTCTTCTGGAATCATTTAATCAAATATCTGGATGGCTCTAAATACCCACCATGGAATAAGTATAAATGCTGTATTAAAGGAAGAAAACTCCAAAATTTAGTTCTTCAGCCAAGGTGCTTATGGTCTGATCCCTAGTAGAGTAAATTTTTGTAAAATGACACAAAGAAGATTTAAATTATTATTATTAAGTGTATCACTTAATATCACTCATATGAATGGATAAATATATTAAATAATGATTCATCAGTTGATATCACTTAATTTATTTTGTTAAATACAATAATAAAATGCTAGAGTAACCTTTACTATAACCATAAAATCTGTCTTAATTTTCTATTTTAATTTTATCTTTTAGGTCATATGTGTGGGACAACTATATGTGATATATAAATATGAGTATGTAATTTGTGACAAATATTTTTAGTATAAATTGCAGTGTATCACATATGGCAAACAATGGGTTAATTCCTTGACTATAGAAAAATACAGATTCAAGAAAGAAATAGAAAAAACGGACAAATATTTTGACAGATTGTTCATAAAAATACAAATGGCTAATAAGAATGTGAGGATGCTCAATTTCGCTTAAAAAATGAAAATTAAAACAACAAAAAGATAGTAATTTTTCATCTGTCAGATTAATGCAATTTACCACCTGGATGATGAGTGCGGTGCAGGTTGCAGGGAAGCACATACTGTCCTGCACCACTGAGGCAGAGGCGTACAAGCTGCTTCCACTTCACGGGGGTGCAGGACGGAGGGGGGACAGTGTGGCAGCAATATTTATTCAAATTTAAAATGCAGTGGCCCTTTGACCTAATAGTGACACTTCTATAATTCGCGCTACCCATATTCTTGCCAAAGTGTGCAAGATATACATGTAAAAGTGTATAAAACATTGTTATTTATATAAACAGGAATCATAAGCAAATGCCTATTAATATGGGAACTTCCTTAAATAAAGCATGTTACATCTAAGCAATGGGCAACTACCATTAAAAATGACATGGTAGATCTTTATGTCATGCTATATGACACGTTATTGTGTAAAATAAAGAGGCCACGTGCAGAGGAGTATTATAGGATGGTCTCATTTGTGAGAAAAACAGTTCGAAAGACTTGTAAGAATTTGATAAAAATAGTGGTTATCTCTGGGATAAAAAGAAGAGGGGGTCTAGGATGAAAGGGAAAGGTTCACTTTTAATTTTATACCAATTTGTACCTTAAACAATTTTTAGCTGATGTATTTGCTTTAAGTCTGTAGTAAAAAGAAGATCCAGTTGAAAATGCATGTTGGGGGGAGGGTACAGCTCAGCGTTAGGGTGCATGCTTAGCATGCAGGAGGTCCTGGGTTTGATCCCCAGCACTTCCATTTAAAAAAATGCAAATGGCAGAATGAAAAAATTAAAAACAGAGAAGCTTGAGTAAGCAGCCCTAGAGAAATTGGAAACCGGCTGACTCATCAGCTGTGAAAACTGGTTCTTTATGTAACTGGATATTTTATATCTTTTCCAATTGAAAATTTCAGAACAAAAATACAAGCAATGAAAATTCTAATGCTAATACTCTCAGATCTGTTAAATGATTACAAAATAGCTTTAACATGCAGCCAATTTATTCTGTCCTAACATTTACTGAACACTTACTTTGTGCCAAGAACTATGCCCAAGACCTTTAACATACATGACCTCATTTACTCTTCACAACAAACTTATGATACAGGTATTATCCCTAACTGGATTTTACAGATTAGGAAATTTAGGCTCAGAGATGTGCAGTAATTTTTTCATGGGCACACAGCACGTCTACAATTAGAAACTCAGAACTCCTCCCACAACCTCTATGTTGGATTACTTCCGGGAGATAATACAAGAGGAAGGCTCTGAGGTCTTAAATTTTGTCCTTGTTGTCAAAGAAATAGTGGGATACAATATTACCCGAAGTTGTGTAAATATTTGCAATTTCCATAAATAATTTCCTTTCATATCCTTTGCTTATGAGGGTTGCCCAAACTTAGCCCATCTGTGGGCATTCACTAGCCCAAAGTGAGGACCCAGTTATTGCAGGGCCAAAAGAGGCTACTGAACACAGGGCATGGAGGTAGGACTGGCTAGGAAGGTGGGTCGAGTCTCAGAGATGAACAATGACGGGGAGTTTGGAATCCAGGGAGACGATCTGGGGCAGCAGGGAACACATAAGAAGGGTCAGGAACCCAGGCAGAGGGAGAAATGACTCAGATGCCCTGAAGAGGAGCGTGACACTGAGTCTCACTAATGTAACTGGGGGCCATTAGTGAGAGAACCCACAGGCTAGAAGGACCGAGAGGCTGACAGTGGCTCATGACTACTGTATTTTTAATCTCGCAAGGGCAGGGATCAACCTTATTTATCTTTGAAACCCCAGTGCCTGGTAGTCTGCACTTAGGAGGCACTTGATGTTTGAAAATGAAACACAGACTATTTCCTGTCCGACCTTGCCCCAGGGGTTTCCCCGCATAGCAGCCAAAGTTCCCATTGATCTAAATCTCTTGATGATTTGTAGAAGTCGGTGGATGAGATGGGAAAAGCACAAAATGTCTAGCGACATGTACCACAAGAATTTTCATGAGCAGGAAAAACCACCCTTCTGTTTCCTGCTGGCTACTCGCAGATCCTCGTTAACTGCCCCCAAATCTTTTAAGGGTTTTGAGTGGAAGGCTATGGTTAGGTAATTAGTTCCCTTCACTCCAGCTTTTGTAAAGTTCTTACCGACCAACTCAGTTTATTTCTAATTGTTTCTTTGAAAAATCCATAGTTCTTTCACAGGCTTACTTTCTTGCTATGTTGATTTGATGTGACGAGGAACTCGTAGGTTACGTTTTAACATCCCAAGGTGGACTTCTTCCCACCCTCCTCTCTCCACCTCAAGTGAAACCAGCTCATGAGCAAATCAACCAAACTCCTGGCCGTATCATCTTCCTCCATTTTATTTCTGAAAAAAAATATTTTGAAAATTCTATAAATTAGACATATCAGGTAACTTTGTTGTGAACTCCTGAGAGAAAAATGTAAATGAGCACTTTTTCTTAAGTTTTGACTCTCTTCTACCATCCTCTGGTGAAATTAGGTACTACAGACCAATTTCTAAATACTTAGATATGTTTTACTTGACCAGGGTTCATATGAATTGAGTGAAAAGAACACTCAGATTACT